CTGATCTTTAGTTTGCGTTTAACTTTTTTAGTCCATCATAAATGACTTGCTTGTTTTTAATTTTAGAGATTCTGAGAGAGGTAAAAAGGGTAAAGTATCAGATGATGGAGGAGTTTTTGATGCTCCTGCAGCACCACAATTCAAAAAGATTCCTGATGATTTAACAGCATCAGAAGGTACCACTGTCAGGTTTGACTGTCTTGTGACTGGACGACCTGCACCAGAATTAGACTGGTATAGAGACGGCATCCTGGTTCACAGAGATGATAACCATAAGGTAATAAACTGACACAATTTCACATGGGTTCTTCTTGAATTAATTAATAAGACATCAGATTAAAAGCATCTGATGTTTTTTAACAAAATGTCATTGTATTGGATTCTTATTGTTTTATTTGACACAACGTTTCAACAATTTACAGTTGACAATTTCTTCCTGAACTACTCCTTGGGGTTTGTTTACACAATGTTTCAACAATTTACATTTTCATAATAAGTTTATATGGTATACTACTCCTGAGTTTAATTGTACACAATGTTTCAACAATTTACATTGTCATCATCAGTTTATATAGTATACTATTCCTGAGTTTTATTGTACACAATGTTTCAACAATTTACATTGTCATCATCAGTTTATATGGTATACTATTCCTGAGTTTTATTGTACACAATGTTTCAACAATCTACATTGTCACCATCAGTTTATATAGTATACTACTCCTGAGTTTTATTGTACACAATGTTTCAACAATTTACATTGTCATCATCAGTTTATATAGTATACTACTCCTGAGTTTTATTGTACACAATGTTTCAACAATTTACATTGTTATCATCAGTTTATATAGTATACTACTCCTGAGTTTTATTGTACATAATGTTTCAACAATTTACATTGTTATCATCAGTTTATATAGTATACTACTCCTGAGTTTTATTGTACATAATGTTTCAACAATTTACATTGTCATCATCAGTTTATATAGTATACTACTCCTGAGTTTTATTGTACATAATGTTTCAACAATTTACATTGTTATCATCAGTTTATATAGTATACTACTCCTGAGTTTTATTGTACATAATGTTTCAACAATTTACATTGTCATCATCAGTTTATATAGTATACTTCTACAAGGTTAAACTGCA